TCATTTTCTTGTGTCCCAGGTTGCTGGATGCTGGCCATCCCTGATCTAAAGGCACAGTGCTTGTGCTAATTTGCTAAGTCCTGCTGACAGCACAGCACAGGGGTAAAAAAGCAACAGGGCTTTCAGGTCAGGCCTTTGGTATATTCAGCTGCCTCCGGGCAGACAGGGCACAGGGCTGTGTGTGGAGACACTGTATCTAACACAGCAGATTTCCACAGCTTTTCCAAAAGCCTTAAAAATGGCAATAACTCCAATTTGGAAGAGAAGGGAAGGGGAAGCAAAGCCTTTGTTTGAAGGATCTAGCGATCCTGGGCAAGAGATACAGACCTGGAGGGAAAGAGGCTCTTCAGCTTAATTTTGGGGGAACAAAGACTAGCTGCTTTGCTCAAGGTCATTAGAGCCAAGTTCCAGGTCGGGATGTCTTACAGTCTAGCCCAGAGCCTGAAATATCTTCCTGCTTTTCTTTTCTATGCTTGGCCTTGCAGTCACTGCATCTCTAATAAGCCAAGCCACTTCAGAGATTTTATTCTCCTTAGAAATACTATAAAAATCCTTCTGCGTTTTATCAGAGTCATTAGCATGAAAAAAAATTGCAAGGAGAATATAGACTTTATCTGCTAAAGTTGTTTCTCATATTCTTTGCTGCCTGTGTGACTATTAGCATGAAGGAAAACAGATAAAGCACAAAAGGAAAGCCTGGATACTCTTGGAAACTCATTAGTGAGGGAAGTCCCAGTGCAAAACATAATGAAACGTTCATCCACCACCTCTGCAAAAGATGGGTGCTCGTGGTTAGAGTTTTTTCCTCTGATTAATTGGTTTCCTGTGGAAAAATCATAGTAGTGATCACTTGATCCATTTGTTTAATGACACCTTTCTCATGCTTCCTACTCTTCTTCAACACCTGTGAAGGGCTTAGTGTTGATCTAAGCCCTGAACAAACAATGGAAATTTCTGTCCCTTTCTGGGCAAGGAAGGTGTTAGGAATATTCAAGAGTTATACAAAAGTCTTAAGAACAGCTACCAGCAGTCAAGACAAAGGTGCAGTGAGCTCCTGGCCCATCTGCCTCAGTTCTCCTCAGGGGAGACTTCTCAAAGCTTCTGTCCTGTCACCAATTACATTTTGCAGAGCTCCACTGACATCCTGAAGCAGAGAATGTCTTTGTACTCACCAGAGGTTTACAGATGTCTCTCTCTAATTAACTTATATGCACTGTTTCAAACACAAAATTTTAACCTCCAGAACAGTCTGCAAAGAGGTGTTTCAATACCTGCTGGATGAAAAGCAAATTCATTTTGTTCATTTTAAACTTGCTATCAGGTAGCTTGGTTTGCCTTCCCTTCAGTTTTACAACAGAAGAAAGTGAAAAATAATTTGTCACTAATAACTCCATACCACTCAAAGTTTGACAGATGTGTCTCACTCCCCCTAAAGTCATCACATCTACAGGCACCTTCCTGCCTGCAGAACCTTTTCACTGCTCTTGGCCTTTGGAAAGCTGGAAGGGTGTCTCAGCACCACTGCATAATGCTCAGTCCTTTGCAAGACAAAGGCAGAAGTTTTTGAGAGCTTCCCAGTTAAATTTTGTGTGGAAGCATTAGGAGGGCTGGCTCATGATGTGGATGGCTGTGCCCCAGGAATGCAGACCTCATGCTCTACAGTACCTCCCTTGTCAGGCATGAATTCTCTGACTTGGATCGAGTTACTGAAACCCCCTTTTGCTTGAATCATCCTCAAAAATGATCTCCAGCTGCTCCTATTGCCCTCACTCCTCTCCTGCCCCTGCTCCTCTTGAATCAATAGAGATGTGAGATGTGAGTTACAACCCTTCCAGAATCAGGCTATTTGGTTTAGCAGATAGCCACTTGAATAACCTCCAGAACAAAGCTAAAGCGTTCCCTTTCATGGTGATGATGTTACAGAATTGGATATTTACCCACGTATAACCATCAGTTCAACAACAGAATCATTTGCAATAGTGAATGAACACACAGTAAAGGGACACAGATTTATGAGCAGAAATATGGCAGACTACATCTAATGTGAAAGGGATTAAGAACTCCAAGGGCTGAAAGGCAACAGTCAACAATGGATATTTAAGATCAAATACAGAGCAGCAATAGGTGAATCCCACCTCTCTATGAAATCCACTTGAGAGTGGTTTACAAGGACACCTGTAGACGCATTATGGTATTTTCTTTTTTTATATATCTGTGCACAATAACTTGGCTGCATATGCAGGTTTCTGTACAAAAAAAAAGCATGCTCCGTCATTCTGAGCTATTTAGGCCTGGTAGGAGATGCCAGGCTGCTGCTTGAACCATCACAGTGAGTTTCCTGGGTTTAAAAGTTACACAAGTCCTCATGTCAACATGAATTAGGTTTTCAGCCACAGCTGCTATTATCTTGGGGTTTGCCATTAATGATGTGCTTGACATGTTATCTATGCTAATACAAGCATCCTTTTGGCTTTAACTTGGTGATATAACCAAGGTGATGACCTGGAGAAGCAAGGCCAGTACCTCTCCTGTCCTTCTGGAAAAGCACAGGATTTTCCCTCTGACAAATGCCTCAGACCTCACATAAATGCCATACAAGCAGTACTTGGCAACAGCATGGTCTGACAGGTGTTTGGCACTGGCACAGCTGGAGAGCAAGACTATAGTAAGGGGGTAATTTTAATCTTGTCATCTCGGTCTTTTCAAAGGTGAGAACACTTTGTTCCATGAAGATTTAGGATGTGAGCCTCGTCCTTTTAAAGGATCCCACAGCACATGCATGGCAACAACCACACAGACTGCAGCTGTTACTAAAGTCCAGCATCTCTGATCCAGCTTTCCATCACTGGCTCATGTCCATATAAATCAAGGAAACAAACCTGTCACAGCCAAAATAAGAAAGAAACAAGAATTACTGCTTTTGCAGACATTGTGGCACAGCAGGCAAACAAAGGAGACAAGTGAATCCTCTCCTTCGAGGTGTTCTCCTCTCTGAGAAGGTTTTAATTTCATAGGTTATTCTACTTTGATGGTAACTGGCATTGCAGGCACTTGCAGCCCTGCTCCCTGTGGCTCTGGCTATTTCATGGGCACTGGAACTGACTGTGCAGGGACATGGTCACAGCACCAAGCCTGTCAGAGCTCAAGAAGCATCTGGATTGTGCTCTTAGATACACAGTTTAGGTTAAGTAGTCCTGGAAGGAGCAGGGAGTTGAATTAGATGATCCATATGGATTCCTTCCAACCTGAGATAGTCTATGATTTTATGATTCTGTATCCTGAGGCTCTCTTTTTAATCAAGCTAGCAACATAGAGCTGATAAATCTTTGCCCTGCATCAGGAACAGCACTGACACTGAGCCATTGGGTGCACATGGGGCACAAAAATCCTGGGTCCCATAAACCCTCCTTGCATAGATAAGAACAAGCTGCCTCAGCTGGCAGAGTTACCAAATAAACACAACAAGCTGACCATAAACTCAGCATCCTCCAAGCCTAAACATTTCTTTGGGCACTCAGTGCTGTTTGGCTACTCCAGCTGAAGAAGCTCTGCACCTACTGTGACATCTCTATACTTTTTCCCCTCCAGATCTGCAAACCTATTTCTCTGTGCATGAAAATAATACAGATGGAATGATATTTTCTGACATTTTTCTGCAGAGTTCAAAACATAGGAAAACAAGAACTTGCTTCAACTACAACACAACTAATACTGTAAACATCATGTTTCCCACCACACTGCTGGCTCTCACCACCTGCCAAACACGAGCTGGTTTCCAAAGGCTGAATCCTGAGTCTCAAAGGCCAAATAGTGTCTGTCAGTGGAAAGACTGCAGGAAACTGAATGCAGAGATGTGGTTTTTATGGCCCCCATGTTTCTAGCCTGGCTCAATAAAATTTCCTGTCATGAGCAACTGGCATTTCGATTGTAATTTCACATGATGAATTACCACTATATACAATCAATATATCATAACCATAGAAAGAGAAAATAAGAAGCTGCAATGGGCATAAATGCCATGTTCTCTCTAGTGCAGCATTCTTCCTTTCCAATCACAATCCAATATTGTTTGAAATTCTCTGAGCAATTGAGTAGCCACAGATTCCCTGAAAAACATCTCAACAGATTCTTAATCTCATTTTCAATATGAACCTTGACTTCTTCCTTAATATGTTCATCTCCTACCCGGTCAATCTTTTTCCATTGTTCCTTGCAACTTGAAATTTCATTTTGATCATAAGGAAAACACCCTCAGCCAGGTGTGATACAGAGCTACAGACAGAAAGAGCTAATTCTCTTCTGAAGCCTAGGCATCGAGACTCTTTTTTTTTTTTTTGTGCAGAATGGAAAGTTTGTAGCCAAAACTGCCTTGAAATCACCATCTTTTTAAAATGCAAATTAATCCAGTCCTGCTACTTGTTTCCCACTGTTGATCACCAATGAAAGAGTTTTCCAAGACAGATAACACAGGAATTTTCAGTGGTTATTTCATATCCTCAATTTTAACCTCCAAGTCTTGTTTCTCTGTCTTGCCTAATATTTGAAGTAAAAAAATATTCCAGCTTTTTTTCATTCAGTTTATTAATGAAAAGATCCAATTGGAAGAAAGACTATGACAGACTTCTCATAAGCCAAATTTAATCCTGCTGAAAAATTCAATAAACTCAAAATTATGCTTTCCTTCTGTTTTTCATCCTTCCGGCCAATTTCTTTAGTGCATTATCCTCCACGAACTCACTGCTGCTTACACAAAGCAAAGATTATGATTTCAATTTGATCAGATTTTCCATGGTCAATGCACAAAGAAATTCAAAGAACACAAAGGGGAGAAAGCAATGAACACTCAAAAGCTTGTCTGCAGAAGGAGACATAAAGGTTCCTGACAAAGATCCAACTGTGTCATGTCTTTTGTATCCTGTGCAATCCAAAAGCAACCTCTGAACTACAGCAGGCAACAGCAAGCAACCCATTTGTTGGACCAGTGAAGGATTAGAGCTTACCTTTTCTCCTTTTACTCCTATGCCATAGGCTTTGCCCTAGAAATGAAAAAAAAAAATGAGGGGAAAATGTAAATTTGCAAACAAGGATATCAAACAACACTACATATACAGATTTCATGTTTTCCTTGTTATGCATCCAAGATCTATCTCTCTTTATATACAGACATACAAGTTAGTTCACAACTACTATGGGGAAAGCAATTTTCTATGGGCATAATTCCTTGATAATAATTCAGTGACAAATTAAACTAAAAACTTATCCCAAATTCTCCTACTGCAGCCAGAAAAAACATTTTTTATTCATGGAAGAGCATGATGTTATATTTCCAAAAGCAAAGTTGCCAACAATGCTTCCTGGAATGAATTTTACATAGGGTTAAAGATTTTTTTGCCTAAAATCTCAGCCTGGCATTTGCATTAATTACAGCTGGGGGAGGCTGTGTCTTGGTCTGTAAAAAGTCAAGAGAGATTTGCATCTTCTTTGTGTTCAGTTGTCTCATATTGTCCCCCAGCAGATGTGCAGCTGTGGTAATCAAGTGCATCCAAGTTACATACTTAATTAGAAGGTCAGTATTAAGTCAGTTATCAGCTGTACCCAGGGATGAAACCTCCATTTGCCCTCTCCAAGAGAGGCCAGTGAGTGCCAGGTTCCTCCTGGGATTCAGGTCCAGCAGAGGGAACAGCTTTGACGAGGGCACACAACGCTGTGAGCAGGTTCTCACCGTAAAGCAGAAAACAACTACTTACATTTTCATCTCCTTTAGCAAAATCATTGGGTATTTGTTACTTACTGACTCTCCTTTCTCTCCTCGGAGTCCAGGAAGCCCTGGGATGCCTCTTTCTCCCTTGAAATAGAAAATGTGTTAATATCACATACTTAATTCCTTCCTTTCTTAGACATAGAAGGAAAGTGATGCAACAAGGGTTTGACTGAAATGATGGACACTTTTGGTTCCACCAGTCTCTACAGCCAAGATTTCAGCTCCTGCCCTAACGACTGGGTGTACTTAATTGCATGTCTTGAACATCCACATTTTCAGATTGATTTTCTATTCTATTTTTCATATGAAAATACAGGTAGAAGCCTTTGGAGTGCACTGGCAAGGCAGAGAGTTTTCTCCTGTGAAGTATTTCAACAGCCCTTATTTTTTACTAAGAGAGGAAATATTTGCAAAGGTGCTTTGCAGAAGGCCTAGAGGGTACATGCCAAAAATGTGCAAAAAATAATCTGAAAATATTGTTAAGATTTTAGAGGTTTTTTGGGTTTTTTTTTTTTCAATCCAAATCCCTTGTTTTCAGTCACATTAAATTTTCAGTATCAGCTAAGCTTTTTCTTCCCTCCCACAAGTGTGCAGCACACACAGTCATTCTTCCTGCTTGTTCCAGTGGGAGAGAGGGAGAGTAACATAGAAAAGAGACAATTGGAAAGGTACAATTTATGATGGTTGGAAAGGTTATAACTGGAGAAGGACATGCATAGAGAGCAAAAGAGAAAAATTGTTGATCAAAAACCAAGCAAAACTTTTTCTTCACTTTTCTCCTAAAAAGGACAGGGGTAAAAGGGATAAAGAATCAAAGAAGATCCAAATTTTCATGAATATTAATCAGATACAGAACTTAAGGTGGTGCCAAACCCAGCAAGTGCAGAAAAAATACCCGTAAATCATTTTTACACAGTGCTCTGCAGTCTCAAAACTAGAGGTAGGACCAGCAGAGTCCACTACTTGGACTGGTTTAAGGCCATGTGCTGTGCTGCCACCAGCTCCTTCAATTCTTCTAGCACTGGGAGCTGCTGGGGAGCAGAAGGCTCTGCCCACACACCTCTGCCCAGCTCCTTTCTGATTCTCACCCAAAATATGCAAACCAGAAGTGTGCTGTGCTGAGCACCCCATCTCTCACTTAAAATGCAATGTGCTCACCTATTTGTGCACTGTGACTTGAGTACAAACTTAACATCAAGCTGAAAAAGTCTCAGACCTGGAGCAGGACCCTCCAGTACCACCACAGCATCAGTAAGTCTGATGACCCCTGCTCTCCCCAAATCTCCCCACATGGGCCACAGCAGGATTTAATTTTGTGTTTCTATCAAATTTATCCTGATCTATGCCTCCTCAAAAAAAAAAAAAAAAAAAAAAAAGTGCTTAGCAGAACCAGGAACTGAAAACATTTGCCAGGATCATCCTTTCTTTTCCCAGGTGAAGAAATGCTTTTGAAAGCACCGGAAATATGAAAGTTTCTTTCTTTAACCGTTCTGCTTTGTTTTTTGCTGAAAGAAAGAAAACTCGCAGAGCAAGTAGCATATATACAAAAATTATGTCATGGTCAATTAAAAAGCTGTGGTAAAACTAATAAAAATTTTTATGTGACCATCTCTTATAAGTCACTGAAAGTATGAAGCCTTTCTTATTTGGAGGAAAAGATACATCCTACCAGAGCTTGTCTAATACACTGGACTTCACAAACTTCACAATGGCAGGAAAGAATTGTAATTTCTTTGTGGGCAAAAACACATCTCACAGAGCAAGGATTTTTGTCTACACTTGGATCAATAGCAGTGCTGGAAGAGAGAAGCAGCCTGTTATCATCAGCCCAGTGCCCCAACCAGCCATCCTGGCTGCCTGCAAACAACACAGCCTGCAGAGGGACTGTGCAAGGAAAATACATCAGACTGGGCTGTCATTAGCATCTAAAATTTATCAATAGGACCCAGCCTCAGACATATTAGCCAGTTCTGCCACAGCTATTTCCTGCCTAGCTGTTTCCCAATACGATCCTTGACCATATCTCATTCCAAAACACATCAACTGTGTCTCCATGCATTACCCTCACTTTGGCAGTGTGGCCCATTGAGGCAGAGGTGTTTATCTCCCAGACATTTTTTCCACTTTTTTGATAACTGCAAGCTCTCCTGTTTCTCCCTGCCTTTGAAAACTTAGAGAAGATCAGAATCACATCATCTTTCTTTAATAAATACCAGGTGATAATGTTGGCAAGCTGCAAATAAGCACTGAATTCCTTGCCAAGGGCAAGATTTTAGCCCAGGTAGCTCAGTAATGTTGCAAGGAGAGAGGAGAAGAGCTAAAATTCATTCTTGAACATAGAGCAAGGACTGTGACAAGCTGGTCTTTGGCAATAGCAATGTAAAAACTGCTGTCAAGAGTGGTATATGTTATTGAATCACAACATCTTTGCAAGCTGGGAGAAAAACCTACTACTCGCCTTATTTAGCAGATAGAGAAGCTAAATCATTTGTCTCAAATCATCACATTTATACTAAATTGTTGTCAGATCCCATATTTATATGGCATCATCCCCATGTCCTTGAGACTGTGACACAGTCCTGCCTTGTCTGTGTGCAAGTCTCAAACCTCTTCAGCCAGGGAAAAGTCACTCACATCTGCAGGAGTGGGGCAGATCTTTTGGGGCCTGTTCCTGAAAACCTGCTGATGCTGTGCTTGTAGACACACTCCTCTGTATTCCACCAGAGTGTCCTGCACCCCAGTACTGACCCATGGGACACACAGAGCCACCCTCAGCAGCACACAGACCTTGGCAAAGCAGGGGAAGACAATGGGATCTTGCTGCAGGGCCCTTTTATCATTATCACCATTGTCTTTTCTACAACCTCCTCACAACAGTCATGGCTTTGCTGTTCCTTAAAATAGCCCATCACTATTTAAGCTGCATTGGATTAAAATAGAAAGCTCCTATTTATATATACATGGAGGCATAAGGAACCTTTGTCTGCACAGGCACATTTGAGCAGTAATGAGCCCATGTTCTTTCATCCCAGCCTCCAAAAGGCATATTCTTATCTCTAAACTTCTCTCTGCAGACAGCAGACCAAGCTTTGCCAAAAGACAGCACATCAATGAAGATGTTTGACCCTCCAAAACCCATAGATTATTCCTTTCCCCTTCCACAGTCTTTCATAATAACTGAGTGACTTTTGATGGGATGCAAGTCAGTTATTCACCAAACAGGTATAAATTCAGTGACTCAGTTTGCAGAAGTGATTCAGATGGAAATAGTTTTGAATATAACTTTTTCCCCAAACATCTTTTCGCAGATAGTAAAACTGGGAACCACCAACACCACCAACTTTCACCTCTCCAGCCATGTTGTGACTCTGTTTTCTTCCTGTACAAATGCTCCCTTTGAGTCTATTGCCTCATGGGTCTGTAACCAATCTGTGACCAGGCACAGAAGGAAAATGTGTTTATGCTGAATGCACACGTGTCTATCAGAGAGGCCTGCAGAACAGGCAGGGTAATACAAAGGCTGCACTGTGAAACTTGAAGCAGACATCACAACCACTCTCCTACCCTTTTATCTAGGAATAAGAATACTGAGGGAAGTGGCCTATATTTAACATCATTACTCAGACAGTCTTGCTAAGGATAAAAGATTGAGACTGATCCTTTACTCCTAGTCTCAGGAAACTTTCTGAAGTGTGACTGGAAGGCTGCTACCTAAACTATGCACGTGCATTACTGCTGAGAAAGGCACAGCTTGGCAGCAGCACCTCTGTTTCCAGGTGACTTGCCATGGAAGCTGTGCATGACATAGTGAATAAGAGTAGCTTGCAAAAATGGTAGTTTGCAACACATTTACTCTAAGAATGACATAAAGCAGCAAAAGAGAAGTCTAAATGCAAGCGTAAATTAAAGATAAAAGATCACAAAAAACTTCTGCAGTCCCAGGCTCATCCAAAACTGTCTAAACTTAATCATATACTAAATTGACTCTCATTTCTGAAAATTTTCAAATCCTCAGTTTACTCTGAAATTGTCTAGCTCTTGCTGTTTTTATTAACCAAATGAACTACCACATATTACTGACCTTTTGACCTTTGGGACCTTCAAAGCCAAGTGGACCCCTCTCCCCCTAAGATAAAAAAGACATGATTAATCAAACTTATCTTCTCATTTTATATTCAAGCAAGGGGCCTGATCCTAGGAGGACAGGAGGACAACACAAGTGTTTTCAGATTTAGGCAGAGAAGATAAGAAAGCTGACATGCCCTCAGGAGCAATGACAACGAAGCCGGTTTCTCAGAGGTCCCAGTCAGAGCCAGAGAAAGCAAGCACATTGCTTTTAAAAGCCATGAGATTTTTTTCAATGTGGCTACATCTATCTTCATAATCTATTTTATTTGAAGAAGGATACACATAACTGAGCTAGATAAGAATAATCACTTTGTTTCAGTGCTGTTACCAGGACTACCAGCATGTCCAGCATCATTCAATTCAAAGAGAAAACACCCGGGGAAACTTCCTTTACCTTTACAGACATCCCAAATGAAACACACTCATCTCAGCACTCACCTTTTGTCCAGGAGGACAGGAGCAGTTGAAAATCTTGAGATGTCCAACTTGCTCACTGCCAACAGTGGGCCTCACTTCCAGGGGAGGTGCTTCCGTCAGGACCGTGACCTGGCACTGCAAACACCCAAGGTCAGGACAAAGCCTTTGATGCTGGAAAGTTTCCCCTTCCACCCACTTTAGACAAATCCCACAGGCACCACTGGGTAACACACAGCCAAATGTGTCCTCGTGAGGAATGAAATCCCACAAAAGCCATTCATCCAAGCAATAAGGGAAAATGTGGCAAAATGAACAATGAACCTCTTTAACCAAAGACTGAGGGGAGAAGAGTGAAAGGAGGGTGGAAGTTTCTAGTGAGAGTTGGGCACAGGAAAATAAGCTGCAGTTGGCACTGTTTTTAGATGTTTCCAAATAAAACCAGTGGGAAACATGTTGAATATTTCATGCTGCATTTCTGTTGTTCTATCATCACTTCAGGGTTTTGTTTCCCCTGACAGTTTGACAAGGAAAGAGGAATTTGGAAACTTCAAATTCCTCATACTCATCCCTCTGCAGTGGCCCTCCTCTGGAGCTGCTATGCTGCCAGTTACACAGTGAGGTTTCAATCACCCTTATTAAACAAAAATTATAATCCCACACTGCCACATATTCCCTGGTTTATGTAATAGATTTCAGTGAAGAGTGTTCACGTGAAAATTAATAAATGACAAAAAGGAGCTTACTGGTCCAGAGGGAATGTCGCAGCAGGTCTCCAGCTCGGCGTGCCGGGAGTCACAGTAAATCACCATCCTCTGAAGATCAAACTGGGAGACAAAGGGAGGCAGCAGTCTCAGACACAGTGAATTATTAAAGACCCTCTGTCCTTTTGCTTGGACACAAACAGAGCAGGCAAACACAAACAAAAACCAGCTGGTGCTAACTTCAGAGTGGTTCTGTGGATCCTGTAGTCAATCTCTATCTCTCCCTATCTATAATAGACCAATACCTCAGCATGCTACATGAGCTGAGATAATAAGACCCTGAAAATGCCTATTCAAATTCTGGTGCAGGTTTTCATGCTAATCCCATGTTCTGGCCAAACTTCTGTCTGAGAAGACATATCCTGGCCACGTCTATCTTTCCTAGAATTTCATCTAGACACAAGGTCTGTTTTCCTCCTGTTGTGCCTTGCATCTTCTGACCATTTATTCCTGTGTGAGAAATGCTATGAACACATTTGATATGCATGTCCCATCCATTTTGCACAGCCAAGAAAGATTATACAAGTCTGAAATACCAAACTATCACACATAAATTATACGAGGGTAACACTGCTGCTGGACAATCAGCCTGTGTGTCTTGACTTTGGTTCATTTGTACTAAGGGTCATTTAATATCTGAGGAATGGAGAATATATCACAACTCTCTTGAGTTAACAAGCTTCCTTTTTTTCCCCAATCTCTTTCTATCACCGGTGGAAACATTCATAATGCCAACATCAGATGAAGACTTTTCTGTGTAGTTCAGTAACCAGTTTGATTATATTTGTGTACAATTTTGTCTCTGCTTCTAACTGTAGCACATTCTGTGACTAGACAGAAAGATGAAATAAACTTCTCATTTTTAATCCCTATTTTGGAGATACATACAGCAAGTCTTGTACATCATAAGGTGACAATCTGTCTTAGCTGTGTAACACTGGTAACATTTCAGCAACACCGCCTCAGGAAAAGGGTCAATTACAGCATAACCCCACTCATTCACAGGCTGCAAACCCAAAGCTGAACCTTTACCCAGCTCCAATCAGCAAGCGCAGTACTTACATCAATGGGGACACTGTCATACAAGCGTTTGCCAATCACAGTCTTTCCTTGAATGTCAATGTTTTCCCTGTCCTCAATGGGCAGCACCTGCACCAGCTTGCAGTCTATGTACAGCGAGACAGCCTTGGACTGGATGCTGAGGGCGATTTTGTGCCAGCTGCGGTCGAACAGGTCGCTGACCCGCGCGTTTCGGAAAACCACCCTGACAGCGTCCCTGGTGAGCCCCACGGCGTTGTACTCCACAGCCTTGTTCTCCCCGTCCAGCCGGATCGACACCTGCAAGCAAACAGGAGGGGTTTGCTGAGGAACAAAGCCTTCTTCTTCCTCCTGGCTGCTTTCCATCGTCACCCACACCCCAAAGCCAGGGATGGCACAGGCTGCGGTGAGAAAGCAAAGAGCAGAGGATGGAATTTTGTGGGAGATATGGAAAGGGAGCCTACACTTGTGCTGGTAAATAAGATGGGCTCCACAGGCTTTGGTGCAGACCCATGACCAGTTAAAGCCTCCTCCTGTGAGTAGAACCCTTGGCATGGTTTCAGCACAGGCCGCCTTGCTGCCATGGCTGGGTGGTGGTGCAGGTCATGGGCACCTCCCCAAAGGCATCCCCCCAAAAGCTGAACCTGGTTTGAATCCCTCTACCCCATGTACTCCTCCACTGCTTCCCAGCAGGCTCTTTACTCCCATCACATGTCCTCAGATGTCCCATGGGATATGGAAAAGTACCTCACTGCCTCATATGATACCAGTCTGCTGAGCTGTGGCACTGCCCACACTTTATTTCAGGTGCTTTGAACAGAAAAGTACAGCCCATCATCTGTATTGAAAGCTACAGAGCAGGCAAAAATAGGTTTTTGAAGACATGCAACTTTGAGTTAATTTACAAATTGGTATCTTCTTTTACCAAAGTCAGGCAGTTACCAGCAAGCAGCAGGGAATGGAGCAGGCAGAGCCAAGAATGGTGTGTCCACAAGCTGCAGGGCCACCTTGGCACTGAGCTGTGAGGGATGTGAGCAGCCCAGGGTAGGCTGACTCCACATCTGACCCAACTTCTCCATGCAGCTGAGCACTGTGCTGGCTGGGAATGCCAGCTGGGATCAGTGTTGGCTCAGGAGTGTCTGCATCTGCAAGCTGTGCAGGTCTGCAAGGGAGCAGCCAAACCACGACCAACTCCACATGAAACGAGGCTCATGGGGCTCTAAGGCACTTCTGGCATCATAATTTAAGGCACTTTTGAAATTATTACTGGAAATCTTGAGTGTTTTTCTCTCTCCACACCTAATCAGTTCAAGTTTTAAACTTCCTGCAAGAAATACCGAGTGATAGATGCATTTTCACTCTGCAGCAACTAGGAATGCATATAGCACAGTAAATCACATTTCCTTTAACAAAGCTGCAGCTGATAATAACTTTCATATAAACCTTTTACCATTGTCTCAAACCCAGTTATCTAATTCTTCAAACTGCACCTATTCTTCATTGAGAGTTCCCAAAATCCTTTTCAATACCAGTCCCAAAGCAGCAGTCCTGAATTACACAACTATGTGAGCCCATGCTGACAGCCCACTTTAGAGTCCTGGGTAATGCCATCACCACTATATTTGGTGCTGAGCAGAAAAATGTACAACCCATCCAAAACACTCCCTCCTCAAGCACCCTCAAAAGTCTAAACTCTACCAAGCTGCTAAGAGGGAGACAGCCCTTTAGTACATGCTTCCAGTATTTTTTTCTGAGAACTTGAGAGTACTTGAAAAAAAGCTATTAGATCAAATTGTGCAGCAGGCAGGACTCAGGGTTTTGGAACTATAACAGATGTCACACCCACACCCAGAGCAGGAACCCATAATGCATTTACAAGTCACCTAGAAGACTGTGCAAAACCTGACATAACTCACTGCTCTGTAGTACATCCATGTGACAACCTTTTTCCAAAAAGGCAAAATATTTTCCCTAAGCAGAGCTATCTGAAGAAAACAACTGAAAACTCAATAGTAGTTTCAAGAGCAAGGACGGTATTTTTTGCCTCCCTTTCCAACTAACACATTTATCTGCATCCTAATAATAACCAAGGTATATACAAACATTTATTTGGAGTTTGAATTAAAGGTAAAATATTTGCAGCAAAATCCACTGAAAAAGTAACAGGATTTTTATCAGTTCACAAGAAAAAGTGTGAGGTTAAGGCAAGAAAACTGGCTCATGGCAAAAAAAAAAAAAAAAAGAAAAGGGCTGTTCCTGCTGGCTGCAAGAGAGCCTCTTACCTGTGGTATGCCGTACTTGTCAATAATCTGCCAGATATACCAGTCTTCCTTCCTGGAAGCCTTCCGGAATTTGAAGGTAGTGACAAAGGCATATTCATCAGGCAGGCCTTGTGGAAATACATCCCTGGCACGGGGAGGGGAAAGAGAGCGATGTATCAGGCTTAACAGTGAAAAGCAGAACTTCTCTCCATGTCCCAGCAATGCTTTCTAAAGGTATCATTATAGTTCCTAAAAAATCTGCTTTATTTGAAAGGCTGAAGAGAGATGAACATGAACTTGTGCCCTCCAGGTTCTGCCTTTATGGAGCCCTTTCATCAATCCAATAGTGAAGCTCTCAAATTGGCTAAAATATAATGGAAATCTGCAGCTGAGTATCTATCATGTTAAAAAGGTTGTTTTTCACTTTATGCTTCTGTTCATGAAACCTGTAAATAATTCTCTTCTGTTCCAGATGCACTGGAGACCTGTGACTTCAGAGAATGGCCAGGAACACTCAAAACCCTCGAAATGTACCAAATTACAGCAACAAATATTATAATGTCTGCCCCAAAACAGGCACTACAGCTCAGGTCTTTGCTCCTTAGCTGTCAGCCCCAGATAACAGAAGTTTCTCAAATCAAACATTGCAAACATATCAGGCACGATTTACTCAGTGTGACACCACAACCCCTGCGCATAAGCAAACACATGAAGTAACCAAAATCCAACACTGTTTTTCTCTACTCCATCATAAAAACCTGTCATAGCATGGGGATGCAGGGTGGGACAGAAGAGATAACTAATCCAGTATCACTATTATTTTTGTTACTAGCCATTACTGGATGCCTAAGAATGAGAATGAACACAAAAAACATTGATCTCATGCCTCTGGATCTTTGGAATCCAGGTGTCTAATTCAGATACAAATGCAATTTCTGTAGCAATAGCTTTTTATGGATTTATCTCATATAGACTTCTGCATCCCCCCCTTGAATTCAGGTAAACTTATGACATTCATAACATCCGTTTGACAAGGAATCACCCACTGCTGCCCATTGCATAATGAGCCTCCTCCTCTTTGTTTAGGACCTAACTCGATTCTTATCAGGGAAAGCACAATGAACCTATTATTTTTCTATCTTTTACATCATCCATGATTTTTCAAACTTTACTTGTAATGCCTCTAAGCCATCTCTTTTGCCACCTGAAGAGTCACAATTAACATTGTTCTTCATGCCCAAGCCAGCCTGCTTCTGTGATCATTCCCAAATAAACCCTTCACAAATATCATGTCTTTGCTTCAGGACAAATGAGCAGTCAGGCATAAGCACTCAATACAAAGCAAAACATAATGGCAGTAATTAATGAAGAACAAACTATGAAATGTGGTCCTAATGAATGGTTAACATAATCCATCACTGTGCACAAACTGGCACAGTCCAAGGCACATAAAACTAGAAGCTTTTAATTGTATTAAAAGCAAAAATTCCTCTAAATTTACAGAATACTGTTTTGCAGTTGCAGCAAAGGTTGAGATCCAGTCTTTCCTAATGCCAAAATATTCAATCATATTTTAATCTGTGCTTTGAATCTCCTGTCTTTTCAGACAAGTTATAAATTCAGAACACTCTGGTTTCATCCACTAATGTGGCTTTTGCTGTATAAAGTGCCCCTGCATGATATGAACCATTATAAGTTGGTTTTCCCTCTGGGGAGACAGAGACTCTCTGAATTCTTCCAACACAAAAGAAAACTGAACCAGACTCTCACTAGCTCCCTTAAGAAATCCTTTAGGAGAGCAGACAAAGCTGTATCACTTCTTGGTACTAGATTTTTTAACCAGGGAGGTCCCAGTTGCCTGGAAGTTAGCAAATCTACTAGAAGGGTGCGAAGGAGCACCTGGAAGTGAAAAGAAGTAGGATCTGGAAGGAGGATTGCCTTGAACTAGATATTAAGAAAAAATTCTTTGCTGTAAAGGTGGTCAAGAACTGGAACAGTCTACCCAGGGAAGTGGTGGATTTGCCACCCCTGGAAATGTTCACAGAAAAGTGTGGATGTGGTACTTGGGGACATGGTTTAGTGGTAGACATGGAAGTGTAGCATAACAGCTGGACTCAGTGATCTTTTGGGCTTTTACAGACTTAACAATTTTATGGTTCTGGACAGCTCTGAGCTGGGAACAGGAATATCATTATGCAAGCTTAATTTCAAAAAGGGTTTTCAGATGTTTATTACCCAGAGAAATAACTGGGAGTTAGGTACCTAAACATCCCAGTGAGTCTGGCCACGCCTCATCACACAAGGCTGACAAACAGCCCATCAGGTAGATTTAAACTGACAGAAAGCCATAATGACCCATTACCTGCCATCCTCAAATGATTTTTAAAGCTGCTGAGGAACCAGCTGCAGGTTCCCAAAAGAGAAAGGTTTCATGCCAAAAGAAAATCTGAAGGCAGTCTCATTGCTTTGAAGATGTGATAAAAGCTGGTTCTGAAGTCATTGGTTCCTGTATCTTTTACAGAGCTGCATTGCTACATAAATAGCAAAAACTTTGTTTATCAGTTTTAACTTATTTCCTCACTTAACAATTATCTGCATCTAGAAGTTCAGCTTTACTTGGGGATCCAAGGGCAGGAGTTGCTGTCCCCAGAAATGTTTTATGTTCTTCTTTCACACAAGGCTGAATTGAACTGATGATCGATATTGTGGAACTTTGCTGGATGCCTGGTACCTACAGGGAGCATTCTGCCAGCTCCTTGTTCTATAATTCTGACAACACGATAGATTGCAAAAAACGTCCTTATAAAACTCCAAAACAAAAGAATCCCCCAGTGCTGCAGGTTAGTCTAAGAGTCAATTAACTCAAGTACAGGGTCAGGTGAATCACAACTTTAAAAAAAAAAATTAGCAAGAAGGCAGAAAACTCCTTTAACCATTGCTCGTTTTCAATATATAGCAAACTTCTCACATCCTTTAATTTGCAATAAGGTCTTTTATCTGTGATAATAAGCATGAGATTCTACATCTATAATAACACTATGGAAAAAATTATATTATCACTTCTCATTTCAGACACTCAGTGCAACAACATCAATAGGGTTTTTACATTTGGTGAGGAAGAGTGTAGTTAATGAACTTGAGCAATTCAACCAATTTTACAACAGCTAAGCTCGCTAATATGCAGTGTAACCCATGAGATCTGCAAAACCAAGTTGGAGAAAGCCAGTTATTTAAACATGCTTCACATCACCAGAGGCTCTTGGAATCACAGGAAAAAAAAAAAAAAAAAACAATAAAAAAGAAAGGGGAAAGGGAATGGAAAAGGAAAAGGCTATAGATGGATATGTCTCATACATCCTTGGCAGATCTTTGTGACTTCTACTTCAGAAACCTCAGTGATGGAAGATGAAATAGATACATCCTCTCTAGGTAATTTCTTCCTGTCTTTCTTTGTCCTACATGCTACATGTAAAAAAAATCCAATCTGTCCTAAATCTCACTTGCTGTCATTTAATTTTCCCAAAACAACTTTTTTCCATAAGAAGCCATGTGAACAACTTGTTCTCTTCTACTTGCTGCAGTATTTTCTGTGTTTCTCAGCTCTCCCTACAGTCCTTTACTCACTGCAAGACCAAAAAAGCCTCCAGTCATTCCACCTCCACTGTGCTTTATCTCCTTTACCTTGTTAGAAATAGGAGACACTGAGGGACCTCTTGAGATCATCCCATCTAAAGAAGGTTTTTCTTGTGTTTAGATTTCATTGATTAAAATTGTTCCCATTCCTTCTTGTCCTGTCAATGAATATGACTAAGATGATTCTGGCTCTGCCTTCTTTGCTTCCTCCCCGTCAGATATTTATACACATGGGTAAGATCCTCCCTCACTGAGTCTTCCCTTCTCTAAGCTGTGCAAGCTTTTTTGTCTCTGTTCTTCTTAATATGCAATATTTGTTTGGGAAAAGTATGAAAAAAGGAAGCTTTCAACAGGTTCCATTTTCAGTGTGGGAGTTTGCAGTGGCTTTTTGTACAATTTGTTCTCTTGGAAGGGGCCAAATGGTGAGACCAGGGCAGGAGCTCATGGAGAAACCAAAGGCAGCTGACTGAAGTCAAAGCTGACATCAGGAGACACAGAAAAACACACCAAGTTATCATGCCCTAAACAACCCAAGACTTATTGGTACAACACTGTCCCAATATAAAGAGCAAATAGATAATGACCAAAAGCTTGGCCAAGCATCAGGTAATTCTGTGAGGTGGTAGCCAAGATCATGGTCAAGTCAGGCAGCACCAGACCAGGCAAGAGAAAACTGAGGATGGACATGGCCAGCAGGAAGGCCCTGGAGTCACAACTAGGAGATGCAGAACAAAAGGGTAAGCCAGAATCTTGGCATTAGCCAAGACACCAGTAATGAGAAACAAGCCTGAGCATCCAAGACCAGAAGCCTACAGCACAGTTTTGGCCAGAAGATCCACTGAGGAGCCATGAACAAGCAGTAGGACAGCCCCAGTTACATGAGGAAAACCACCAGCCACACTCTGGGGCCAGCTCAGACAGCTGCAGAGCCCTGTGATGCCCTCAGTGATCGTGTCCTGACTGAAGTCAAGCTCTGGCTGCTGGGTTTGTTTGCTCACAATGATGCCTCACCACAAAGAGGAAGAAAGTTCATAGTTGTAGGTTACAGATCAGAAGATGAGTAGGCACATTTCCCAGACAGCTAATCTGGCACTTTGTGAAAGTTCTATTGCTTGTATAAAAGAATACAAATCCTTTAAGCAGATAATAAAGTGAATTACATATATTACTCAGTCAATGATTTTGTACCTAATTATGAGATGTTGCTATCAGTTGCTAAACATTGCTGGAGGTTATCTGTGAGCCACGACAGATGTTTTTGTTTGGTTTATTATTCCAGTTACTGGTTTTGAGCAGCTTTACAAGATTTCATTTTCTGTGAGCAATGACCCTATATGCAGCATCTCAGAGTCCTGGCACGGAAATGCTAAAATGAACCAAATATGCAAACACCTTCCATGGTGTTATATCCATTTGGGTTCATTCCCAAACCACAGGAGTGTGAAAGTTACAATACGTAAGGCTGAAAATGTGAAAGTCCTCCTTGAATTCCATGTTTCAGAATAATTTGAAAGGAATTTTATTCATTTCAATCTACAAATTAGGGATGTTTTACTTCTAATTGTTCTGGGTGATAAAATATTCTGCTTAGTTTAAGGACAACAGCGACAACAAATAAATGGGTGTAATCTGAGCAGATGGAAAGCTGTCATGGCTGGTTGCTCTGGCTTCACTTCCTCAGTCTTTCTGAGAAAACAACAACAGAAACAGCAACAACAACAAAGTTCTTCAACCCTTACTTTGAAAAAGGAATTCAAATGGACAACTCTCTGTAATCTGTGCTAACTTTCTCCAGTGGTTAATTAGATTCATCCTTAAAACCATGCCCTGCTTCCCTGCTGGTTTTTGATGTCAAGTAGCCACTGCCTTTCAGCCTACTATGACCCTTATTAAAGACCCTTTACCAAGCTTTGATTTCCCAGAGGTTCCTACAGAGAATGATCCCTTCAGTTGTTGGCTGCTTCTTAATTTTACCTGTCTATACTGCAGTTCTTGGATTTCTCACCATCACACTTTCTTCACAGACCTTCAAACTGTCATTCACTCCATTTCTACCTACTGAATTATGGAAAATAAGGCTGGACACAGCAGCAGTGGTGACTGAGCTGTGTGATATGAAGATTATCAGCTCATACTTGACAGTTCCTGTTTATACTCCAAGAATTGCTCAATTTTTATAATATCACCCAGAACCCAGAGATCACAGTGAGACAAATGAAATAGGTTTCTTACCATCCAAGTGAAATAGGTTTATGGTTTATTTCTATCTACACTCAGACCAGTTAGACATATACCAAACCTAAGATGTCTTTACTGGCTGTGTTGAATCAGATCACTGATCATGACTCTATATACCCTTACACTTGATATCATTTATGGACTCTAGAGTATATATCTCAGTATATCATATTTTTTTTTTTTTAATCGTATTAACATGGAGAAAGAGGGGGAGGGAAAAAGAACACATCAATCCTGTTGGTTCAATGATGAAAAAAAATATTGCAAAATCAAGCAAATGTAATTCAAAGGGCAATCTCAAAAATGCAATGAGCTGAGAAAAATACCTAAAAACAGAATAAAAAATAACAGACCTCATCCATAAGAAATAAAAGAAGTATTATTGATTTTTTTTTTTAAGCAAAGTTCAAACCAGAACTGAGAAATTTACTGCAAAAATGTTAATGATGGCAATTCAATCTATGGCTCATAGTTACTAAGTGAAATTATGCACTCTTTTCAAAGCTAATGGTAGCAGGGCTCAAGCAACAGCCCAAAGAAATATTTGTGATAAACCGTGACACAACTGGCAGCCTTAGGTCCTAAAAGACTCTGAGGACTGACTCCACATTGACACAGGATTAAAAACTGTGTCATTCTTCTGGCCCTCTTCTACAAGGCCAGAATCCATATTTGCTGACTGTCACAGCATTTGCCAGCAAGTGGTCTCTTGTGTTTAAAAAATTTCTATCTCAATAGGACCGAGATATTCAATATTCCCTTTAGAAGCTATTTATGTGGCCCTAAGTTCTTTTGTGAATGTCTTGATACTGCTCCTCAGAACCACTGAGCTACACCAAACACAGCTCATATCCTGCCAGGATGGAGCCTGTAGTTACTGCTGAGACTCCTGACCACGTTGTGTACATTCTGTGCCAGCTGAAGTGCAACAGCTGCTCAAAGCAGAAAAATACCTGTAGGTACCAGATAACTACTACAAAGCTAACCTGGAGGAACCAAATAATGTAAAGCAGAGGCTCAGATGAAAATAAAGTGAAAACACAGGGTACTTACTCAGTTTTCTGAACAACAGGAAAGCTTCCAAGCCGTACATAAGCGCTCTGAATCCCATCTTCTTTCATTCCAAAAATCTGCCTCACACTGAATGAATCCATCAGGTCAAATCCTATGAGTTACAGAAATATAAAGAAAAGACATTAATTAATCCTGTGTGTTACAGACATAGAAATAAAAGACATTAATCAGGTAGTGGGACATGCCTCCAATTGTACTTACATGGATCTCTTAACCTACAAACAGCACTTCAGAAATGAACCTTGTTCTTGTTGGGAAAAGCCAAATAAAATTATCTTATGATCTAATCCTCTCAACCCAAAAACTCAAAACCAAGCTTAAATTCAAGCTGTCACAGGCTTGAACAGAGTTTTCCAGAAATCAGTAGCTAACTTTTGCATTGCCACAACATCCTGAAGATGCTGCATAATTTATTAACTCCAGTGTAGAAAAATGCAGAGGTTCAGACTGAAACATTTATTCATAGAATAAGAGAAAACACAGAATGTTTTGGGTGGGAAGGGACACTCAAAGATCATCTTGCTCCAACACCCTACAATGGGCAGGTGTGGGAGCTTGTCCTGGAGGGGATGGACCAAGAGCTGACCACACAGACACACAGCAGACAGTCGGTGCTTTGATGTCCCAACACCAAGTCTTGGGAGAAGTCACAAGGGATAACATCATAAAGAGCAAAGGATTCTGGGACTGACTGGGAGTGGCCATGCAGATCAACAGCCTGTGATTGGCCAGAAGGTTTCCAGAACCTTCTATGAGTGACTATATATATATATATATATATATGTTGACTGCACTGCGGGGTCTTCTGAAGCAGCTTCCTTATGTTTTGGTTTTTTGTTTTGTTTGTGCCCCTTTTATTTATTTAATAAATGTCTTCAGTTTTGGCACATCAGTTGCACCTGTCCCTTCTCATGGTTGCTGCACCATGTGGCCACACCACCGTGGTGCTCCCGAGGCCGGAGCGTTTCCCCGCGCGCCCCGCGAGTCCCCGGGCTGTTGTTGCTGACCCATCCCTGGCTGCTCCACTGCTGGACAGGTCAGAGATCACCAACAGGCAGGGACACCTTCCCCTAGGTCAGGTTTCTGAAGGTTCCATCCAGCCTGGTCTTGAACTCTTCCAGGAATGGGGCATCCACAGCTTCTCTGGGCAACCTGGCCTAGTGTCTCCCCACCCTCATTGGGAAAATTTAATTCTCTATCTCCAATCTAAATCTACCCTCTTTTAGTTCTAAACTGTTGCCCCTTGTCCCATCACTATGGACCTTGATAAAAGGTCTCTTTCTTTCTTGCCAGACACTTTCATATACTGAAAGGCCATGAGAAAGTTCCCCTAAAGCCTTCGCTTTCCAGGCTGAACATCCCCAACTTTCTCCAAATTTCTTCACAGCAGAGGTGTTCCAGCCCTCTCATCTTTTTCATGGACTCCACTGTGTATCCACTCCAATGGTCCAGGCCTTTGCTGAAAACTCCTTGTCCATGAAATTTGACCACATACACTTTTCATATAATTTTAATACAACTTATCAACTTATCCAATCAACTTATCATTATCATGAGCTATTAATCTTGCTGGAAGACAGTTGCCTAAAGCTTCTGACTTTGTTCTAACAAGGTATTTTTAGCTCAATCTTAAGCTAAAGATTTAGCTCAATCTTAAGCTTAAAGCTTAACCCACAAGTGAGTCTAGGCAGCCCCAGCATCAACATGGTCCCAGCCACAAAGAACAAATGGTTTTGTGACATGAAGTCCCAGGTGATGAGAGGGACAGTGGGGGTACAATGGTGCCACAAATGCATCCAGTTCCTGGAGGTGCAGAACTGTGTGGATGAAAACATCCTGCTTTTAGCTCCAAGCTGGCTCCACAGGGTGCAAATCTGAACTATCAGCCACTCCAAGAACAAAACACACTGTGGAGTTAGAGGCAAAGATGTTGTAAAAGGCAGGTTGTGAGCAACTGAGCAGAGATTATGTGTTTTAATTTTATTCAGGCTATTCCAACATTATCTCCCCCTCACACATGCACAATTACACACATTAACTCCTGGATTTGTAATTCCAGCACACAAACCTGGTGACATAAGTGTAGCTTATTTGGATAAATTGCTTTTAAACTATGGCAGTTCTTTCAACTTTGTTCAGTTAGCAAGCTCTCAAAACTTTTCTAGGATAGATAAACATTTTTATGTGATGAAATTAAGCCTGAAGATTCTTGGGTTTCTTAGTTGTCCTCCTCAACCTTTCAGGCTGAAAGGCACTGCAGAACTTGAAAAGAGCTTCAACACGAAAAGGCACCAACCTATTGATATTATTCTTCACATATATATGAAAAAATGGGTGCAAAAACCTGTGTGGGCCAGTATCTAGGCAAATCAAAATAGCAAAAAGCAAATAAAATGTAAAGCTTCTATCATTTTCTGGATGTTTTTCTGAAGAAATTGCTACTTCTGAGGAAATATAATAATTATAATTGTTTGCAAAGACAGAAATGGCTGTCTGGTGCCAAGTTGAGCCCTTTAGTATTACAGTAACTTTTCTGGCTGTCAACAGCTTTTCCTTTTTTTCCACTCTATTTTCAGCTATTACTGGGCATTTGGGAGGCCAAATAAAGCAGTTAAAGTGCCCCAGGGCTTCATGGCTGCACCTCATAATCACCCCTGCAGCAACTCCAGTGATACACCCCTCCGACACACTGCCATCAGCCACGATTGCAGCTGTAAATCAGGGTAAACAGACCCCACCAGAACAGGAGAGCTCCCTCCTGGCTGTCACAAACAACACCACGACTTGTCCATACTCATTCCCCCACGCAGTGCATATCCCTCATCCACACTGCCACAGGAGCTGAGGGAAGGAACTGAGTGCTGCTGGCAGGAGGAGACCACTCTGACTGGGCACGGAAATTGTTAACCTCTCACAGGAGAGGAGCTGTGCATGGAGAAGGCTGAAATGCTGCCCAGGTGACATCCTAATGTCCAGTCACCAGAGGCCCCCAAGCTGTGAGATCCTGCTCATTTCACGGGTCTTGTAAAGCTCCCTTGCTAAAAATGCACAAGTGCAAGACACGGTGACAAGGAGCTCCTGCCAAGTTTTCCCATCATTAGCTCAGACCCAAAGCTGCTCTTGTTATCTCTGACAACTCAAATGAACGTTCGCATCATGAGCAGCTCTGAAGCTGTGCACACTGGTATGCTTTTCCAGTGGAAACAAGCATCAGATTCAATCAATCTCTTCTTCTTTTCCTCCAGAATTTCCTATCAAAATGCACTTTTAAAAGCCTAAATAACACCGTGAAACAGAAACACGGCTATCAAAACTAGTTTGCAAACAGAATTTGGTGTAATGAAAATAAGTCATGCTCTTACAACATAATCCCATTTTTGTTTAGGATTGGATAAAGCATGAAAGTAAATCATAATAGGATTTTTTTTCTTTTATTCAGACTATGGATTGGCAAATTAAAAATTGCTTTCTCTATTTTTAATTAATTGATGAATGAGGATGGCTCTTTGAAAAATTAAATGTAGATACAGGGAAAAGTTAAGGTGTGTCAAAGGCCATACTCAAAAGCAAAGGGTATTTTTACTTTAATCACACTATTAATTTATTCCGTGCCAAATTTAAATATTGCCCAGCTGGTGAGATAACCTTCACTTTTGGATTCTCCATTTACAACCCAAGCCCTTAAAGGAAAGGGACACTTTGGTTGCTGAAATATTTCAATAGAATTACAGAAAATTTGTCATCAGGCCATACACTAAAAAATAAAATTAACAACTCTGCCAAGACTGAGATGCATCTCACCTAATTTTAGGTGTCTGAAAAGGAGACATATGATGGATGCACGTTTTCTGTGTTTCTTTGTGAGTCAGCAGAGAAATTTAGGAGTAATTAAGACAACTCATCTTGAAGAGAGGCTGAACCCCTACCTGGAGTTTCTCCTTCCTTTCAGCAGAAAGGGAGCTCATACAGACAGGAATTTTTACTGAAGTTGTCTGAGATTATTCTGCTTACAGGGAATGCTATGCATTTTGTGCAGGGAGTAAAGCAGAGGCAAAGAGGACAAAAATGTTAACAAATCCCACATAACTTACATTCACATTGCCTTATTTGCCATCAGAATTGTGTAAAGGTTGCAGATTTTTAAATACAGCTTGATTAACCAGCTATGATTTTCAAAATGTCTTCTGAAGAACAGAGAAAGAAACAAACCTAAAATATTACTGTTTGAGCTGAGAAAGTACTCAATGCAGATTACCCAAGTGGAACACACAATGAAACACACACACATTGGCAAGCCCGAATGAATTTGCGAATTAAGGGAATCTCTAAGATTGTTTCAGCTGAAGGACAAACAAATATATTATTATCATTACTATTACAACTACTAGTACTATTACTACTGTTAGTAATAATATTACTACTATTATTAGTGTCTTTTTTTTTTTTTACTTTGTGTGCCTGGAAGCCCTTTGCATGGATTATGTTCCCTTGACTTTAGGAAAGGAACTGGGATTGTGAGTGAGACAGCACAGGTTTAATTTTGATTTTTTTAGCCTTGAATTACAATATTAATGTAAAAAATAAGTAATGCCATGATAATTTCTGCAACACCTGACCAGGACATTTCACCTGGCAGTGTTTGTTCACTAACAGTGCAGTAAAAACTGCTCAATGAGATCTTTCCCAAAAGAGTTAAGTGTCACACAGCACAGAAATAGTCTGTTCTTTGGTTTTTCCACCACCAAGGAGGCACCATATTGCCAGTAGCATATGGAAAATGAAATGTCACATGTAACTTCCCAGTCCTCTCTACAACTGAATGGGAAAGAACAGACCTGCCTAAATTAGCAAAGGCAAAGATGCTGTTACCTCTTGCACCATGCCCAAGCAGAGGGTAAAAGGGTAGGATTTTCCTGTTCTCAGCTGCTTTGATTTAAAAGGTGGCTTTTTGTATAGCAGGGCAGGTGTGGTTTCCCAAATGGCTCATAAACTGCTTAATCAGTAATGCCATAAACATGGCATTTAATAAAATGCTCTTTGATCTTAAGCCTCTTACTTCATTAGAGCTTCTAAAACAATATGTGGCCACTG